AGATTTTTTTTTGCTATAGGGTACGTGCACTTGCCAGACAGAGACAGACAGAAATCGAGAAATCACCCCCCAGGGGGGATGGCCACACTGCAATTGTATCTGAGGAATTTGGTACAGTGTATCTGAGGAACACAGGTGAATCATTGGTTTAGGGGGATGAAGCTTCTATTTTACAGAGAAACTATTTTTTTGAAAGTTCCTTTTCTCTTTTTTCCTTCATACCACTTACTAAGCTTTTAGAAAAATAATTTCAGGTAATTTCCTCTGGCTGCTTTAATCCCAATGTGTTGGCCTGTGTATTGGGCATAGGTTGAAGATTCTAGAAAAACTTTTGTTTTTTTTGCGGTTACAAAACAGGCAAGCTTCTTGACGGTACACTATTGTCAGGTTCCCCTGATTCATTGAGGGTGATGTCTTAGGGGACCTGAATAGATGCAGGAATTTCTGCCCTCCCTCCTGGGTGGACCTACCCTTTGTCTGCATTCTCTGTGTGGACAGCCCCTCAGCCACCAGCTGTGGGCACTGGAGACCGGAAGTCTTGCTGGGACGGCTGCTGGCTCCAGGGTGCACTCAGCTCTGACGGGCTTTCCCACTTGGAGCGTCGGGATGGAAGGATTGCTTTTTCTTGCTCTAACGTCTAGGTGTTGAAAGTTATATATGTTGTCTAGTATTTTAGTTGTTTTATGACAACATTTACCAGTTGGGGGAAATATGAATCATATATCCAGAAATAGAAACCTTGGTTTTCTTTTAGATAATATTCCTTTATTTCTTGAGGGTTCTAGAAAGTACTTCAAAAATAGAGAACTCTTAAAGTAATTTTTAATTGTTATTTACAGGCATTTAGATCATCACAAACTGTGGGATCCCAATGAATTTGCAGTTCACTGCTTTAAAATTATAATGTATTCTATTCAGGTAAGGTAATGAACTATTTATTATATTTATGTAAGTATTAGGTCCCTGGGAAAGTCATGACATATTTTTCTATGCAAAAATCCATCATGACTTCCCCGACAACCCAGTTATTTTAGTTCTATGTAGATAAGCACATCTTCAAACGAAGATAAAGTAAACCATAGGCTATATGTATTCATTTAACACTTCCTTCTTTGCCAAGATAAAAAGGCATCTAATAACAAGAAATAAATAATTTTATGATAGTGCTCTTTATTGTGCATTACTTAATACAGAGGTATTTATACATATACATTTTTATTGGAATTTATATTTATCATAGCAGGATGTACCTGAAAATAACAGATAATGTTTAGTGAATATACTGTATTACGGGATAGTCCTGACGCCTTTAGTTTTTATAGAATTTTATGATGCCCCGATTTGTTTAGGATAGCCCTTCTCTTTGTAATTATTAACAACACCCTTCTTCACTCCCTGAAGGTCGTGGTTTGAACAGTAAATCAAATGGCTATCTTATTCATAAGGCAGATTGAAGAGCATGTAGTGTCCTAGCCAGAAAGGTCCATTTCAGATTGTGTGTGTGTATCTCTCTAATGCTTTCCTATTTTAACATAACTTTAAATGAAGTAAAGGTGAAAATGCAAACTTAATTTTTACTTAGGTTGTTGTAAATGTATATGTGCTAGAACAGAAATGCCAGAAATGTCTGTTTTATTGAAAGAGGTGGAAGGAAAGTTTTTTGCTTTTGACCAAAATGGCTATTATATGTAGGATATTACTACTTACTATAAAAATCACCTATTCCGAAAGAGGGAAAGGTAACCAGCCTGAAAACAGCAATTCAAGGCCGCAGAAACTTTCTCTTTACAATTTGGTAGAGGGCAGTAGACCCACTATTGATTCATAGGTGTAGATGGAGGATAAAAAAAATAACATCTTGCTATTGTGTTAAAAAAAAAATCTTTTCACTATAGTTAAACATTTTTCTGGCATTTTTTAAAATTTTTTTTTATGTTCCAACATCATTCACAGTGATTAATCACATCTATATAAATTGTAAAAATTTGCCTTTATAAATCAAGAATCATTTGATGTCTTTTTATTTATTTATTTTTTTCCCCATAGGGAGTGTGCACTGACTGGACAGAGAGAGAGAAAGAGAGAGAGAGAGAGTCTGAAAGAGACACAGAGAGGGGAATTGAGAAATCACACACACCTGCTGGGGATACGGCCATGCCACAATCCCTTCTCCTCCATTCTCTTGAGATTTTGGGCACACATGCATGCCTGGCAAGATTTTTGAAGCCACCAGGTTGGGGACTTGAACTGTACTCAGACATGTGGGAGTCTAGCATCTTAACCACCATGTCATCTCTGGCTCCCATTTGATGTCTTTTTTATTTAATTTTTATCAGGTACGCATTGGTAAGATTTTCATTTTAATAGTGGTTCTTGAGTAGACAAGAGTTTTGTCTGTTTAGCATTGTTAGTTGCCCATGAAAAGTACCGTTTTACTTAACTTGAGTAAAAGAGAAGTCTTTAAGTGCCATGCCTTGTTTACTTTTATTTAAAACAATATTTTGCTCTGTTATCAAATTATAAGAGTGTACAGATATTCTTTGTGAAATTATGGAGAAATATAAAGAGAATGAAAATTTCTTATAAAGCTCCTCTGTCAGACGAAACTGGTGTTAATATTTAGTTATCTATAATTATAGTCCTTTTTACTTTTAAAAACACTATTGAATTTTAATGGGCCCATATTTGTAGCTTGCTATTTTCACTGAAATTCATTTAACACTTCCTTCTTTGCCAAGATAAAAAGGCATCTAATAACAAGAAATAAATAATTTTATGATAGTGCTCTTTATTGTGCATTACTTAATACAGAGGTATTTATACATATACATTTTTATTGGAATTTATATTTATCATAGCAGGATGTACCTGAAAATAACAGATAATGTTTAGTGAATATACTGTATTACGGGATAGTCCTGACGCCTTTAGTTTTTATAGAATTTTATGATGCCCCGATTTGTTTAGGATAGCCCTTCTCTTTGTAATTATTAACAACACCCTTCTTCACTCCCTGAAGGTCGTGGTTTGAACAGTAAATCAAATGGCTATCTTATTCATAAGGCAGATTGAAGAGCATGTAGTGTCCTAGCCAGAAAGGTCCATTTCAGATTGTGTGTGTGTATCTCTCTAATGCTTTCCTATTTTAACATAACTTTAAATGAAGTAAAGGTGAAAATGCAAACTTAATTTTTACTTAGGTTGTTGTAAATGTATATGTGCTAGAACAGAAATGCCAGAAATGTCTGTTTTATTGAAAGAGGTGGAAGGAAAGTTTTTTGCTTTTGACCAAAATGGCTATTATATGTAGGATATTACTACTTACTATAAAAATCACCTATTCCGAAAGAGGGAAAGGTAACCAGCCTGAAAACAGCAAGGCAAGGCCGCAGAAACTTTCTCTTTACAATTTGGTAGAGGGCAGTAGACCCACTATTGATTCATAGGTGTAGATGGAGGATAAATAACATCTTGCTATTGTGTTAAAAAAAAAATCTTTTCACTATAGTTAAACATTTTTCTGGCATTTTTTAAAATTTTTTTTTATGTTCCAACATCATTCACAGTGATTAATCACATCTATATAAATTGTAAAAATTTGCCTTTATAAATCAAGAATCATTTGATGTCTTTTTATTTATTTATTTTTTTCCCCATAGGGAGTGTGCACTGACTGGACAGAGAGAGAGAAAGAGAGAGAGAGAGAGTCTGAAAGAGACACAGAGAGGGGAATTGAGAAATCACACACACCTGCTGGGGATACGGCCATGCCACAATCCCTTCTCCTCCATTCTCTTGAGATTTTGGGCACACATGCATGCCTGGCAAGATTTTTGAAGCCACCAGGTTGGGGACTTGAACTGTACTCAGACATGTGGGAGTCTAGCATCTTAACCACCATGTCATCTCTGGCTCCCATTTGATGTCTTTTTTATTTAATTTTTATCAGGTACGCATTGGTAAGATTTTCATTTTAATAGTGGTTCTTGAGTAGACAAGAGTTTTGTCTGTTTAGCATTGTTAGTTGCCCATGAAAAGTACCGTTTTACTTAACTTGAGTAAAAGAGAAGTCTTTAAGTGCCATGCCTTGTTTACTTTTATTTAAAACAATATTTTGCTCTGTTATCAAATTATAAGAGTGTACAGATATTCTTTGTGAAATTATGGAGAAATATAAAGAGAATGAAAATTTCTTATAAAGCTCCTCTGTCAGACGAAACTGGTGTTAATATTTAGTTATCTATAATTATAGTCCTTTTTACTTTTAAAAACACTATTGAATTTTAATGGGCCCATATTTGTAGCTTGCTATTTTCACTGAAGGTACCATAAATATTTTTCAGTAGCCCTATTTATTCTCTAAAGTAACGGTTTTCGGCAGCAGCATATTCTCTCATGATATGAGCCCCATCACTGGACATTTCAGTGCCAGATGGTTTGTTATTCTTGTAGATTCTGTCTGAATACTTGTACTAGTTTATGTATCTCTGAACTGTCTTGCTGCATTTAGGCTCAGTATTCTCACCATGTGATCCAAGAGATTCTAGGACACCTTGATGCCCGTAAAAAAGATTCTCCACGGGTCCGAGCAGGTATTATTCAGGTTCTGTTAGAGGCTGTTGCCATTGCTGCTAAAGGTTCCATAGGTGAGTACTAGTGAAAAAAATAAAATAATATGCTAACCTGTTTCAAGATGTTTATTCAAACAGTATAGTAGTGTGTGAAAAACAGTCTTTAAGGTTATTTGTACACATTTTTAAATGTGCTATAATTTTCTTGAAATTTAGGGTTCATGTGATTATTCTCAGGTATCTTTTGTGTAAGATAAGCATTTTCCTTCTAATCAACCTGTCCTTCCTTATCTCCTTTCTTCTAAGCAAGAAACTGAGAGTTTACTTGTGGTTAGACAGCTCTACCTTATACTCTAGTACACACCAGGTTTTACTCACATACTATAAGATAAAAACAGTGTTCAGAGAAGGGAGAAAAATGGATTATTATGACCAGAATATTATGTGACCCATATTGGTTATAATGTATGGTGTTTGAAGAAGTCAGCAGCTTTAAAGTTAAGTTGCAGCCTGATTAGGAGTGTAGCATTTCTTTAAAAAAAAAAAAAAAAAAAAAAGTTAATTCCATTCTTTGTTTTTATTTTTTAATTTGACCGGAGAAAGACAGAGAAAGTGAGAAAGCAAGCAAGCCACCAGGTCCAGGACATGAACTGTGGTTGGCCATGGGGGAATCCAGTGCCTTAGCCACCATGCCACCTGCCAGCTCTAGGAATATTGCACTTCTATAGGTGATAGTCTTTAAAGATTTACTATAATCTTTGTCAAAGGTGGGTTACAGCATAATTCATCTGGCAGGGGAAGTGTAGGTCACAATAGAAATAACAAGTCACTGTCATTGTAGGCAGAAGGGGAAGGACTTGTCCTTGGGCAGCAGCAGTGGGAAGGTGGTCAGTCAATGGGATCAGATAACTGGCTGTAGTGATAATGAGGAGAGAGGACAGGTCAATGGTCACGATATTTCACCTACATATGGTCAGAAAAATGGAAGGATCTGTGAGAGAAATACAGGAGTTGGGAGGAAAACTGGTTATGGTTTCTTTGCTTTAACGATCACACTGGAAATACATTAGCTAATGAAATATTCTTTCAACATCAAACAAAGATGGGTGTTTTGGATACAGAGTTCTTTTGTCTTGTAACTTACGTCCTTTGAAATGTGAAGAAACACAGGTGGTAAAATGCAAGATTACACTCAGTACCTCATGATAGGCTCAGTCTTTGCAGCGTAGCATTTGACTATGGCCGCCTATACCAGAAAAGCTGGTCATCAAGAATCAGAGGCAAAAACAAAACTCTCTGATTCATTAATTAATAGTAGGTGCTGTGATGGAAGCATGTACAAAGAATTTATTGAATGAAAAGTAAAGAACAAATTCAGCTTGTCTGAATACGATAAATTGAGAAGTTTCTGACTCACAGTTGAGGCAAGCTTTTCCTTCCTTCCTTCCCTCCTTATTTATTTAAATTTTGCCAGAAGGTATGTGTACTCACCAGAGAGAGTGGAAAAGTGAGAAAATACTCCCTATAGGCATGGCCGTGCCACAGTCCTTTCTCTATTTTTTTTTCTTCCTTTTGGAATTTTGGACACATATATATCTGGAAATTTTTTAAAAATAATTGGTTATTATCATTATTACTCAATTTTGACCAGAGAGAGAGAGTGAGAGAGAGAGAGCGAGCAAGCGACGGATGAAATGAGTGTGCAAGCTGCCAGGTCCAGGACTCAAACCATGGTTGGCCATGTGGGAGTCCAGTGCCTTTAATCACCATGCCACCTGCCGACTGGGTCGAGGACTAGAACCTCACGGTCAGCCACACGGGAACCAGGCACCTTAGTCACCACACCAGTGACTGGCCCAGTTCTTTCTTCTTTAGTCTGAGATGATCTAAAATAAATCCAAGCTATAATGATCTATATTACCGAAATTTTATGGATTATAACCCAATAATCAAGTTAAATATTGGGCTAGCACAAATTATTATTTTTTTATTTTATTTATTTATTTTTTTTTTGGAGAGGTTTTCACTATAGGGCGCGTGCGCTCGCCAGACAGACAGAGAGAGACATAGAGACAGAAAGCGAGAAATCACCCCCCAGGGGGGATGGCCACGCCACAATTCCTTCTCCTCCATTCTCCTCTCGGGATCTTGGGCACGCACACACACGCGCCCAGAGTGAGATTTAAGCCATCGGGTCCAAGACACGAACCGCAGTCGACTACGTGGGAGTCCAGTGACATAGCCATTATGCTAACTGCTGGTTTCCAGCAGAAATTATTTTGAATAGACAACATTAAATAAAATAGTTTTATTTATTTATTTGTTTATTCTTATATGTGTATATACATTTTGTGAAGCTCTCACCAGAGATCCAAACAATGTGGTGCTCATAGATGCCCAGTAAATGTTTGTCGCTGTAACTAAGAGACTTAGGTATTTATCATTTAGTGTTATAAATTTTTTCAGTGAACTGGTTAGTTCATAAATTGTTATATACTTTTGCCTATTTAGAAAATAACCCTCAAAAATATCTGTTGAAAAAATGTAAGAGTTGATTTTAGTTTGCCATATTGAAAAAAAGTATCTGCTCACATCCATGGTGCTCTGCAGGGCCCACAGTGCTGGAAGTCTTTAACACGCTACTGAAGCACCTGCGTCTCAGTGTTGAATTTGAAGCCAATGATTTGCAGGGGGAGCCTAGAGGCAGTGGCAGCCTGAGCACAACTTCCAAAGACAACGACGAGAAGATTGTGCAGAACGCCATCATCCAAACAATCGGTGCGTGCGCTTCCGTCTCACAGCCCTCACAGAAAGTCGTGCTTGAAGAGCTCTCCCGTGCCTGGACTAGGCTCTGAGAACACATTCATCAGAGATGAACCACAGTTTAGGCTTCGAGAAATTCTGCATTTTGAATATAAACAAACATAGGAATGAGACAAAGAACGCTGCACAGCCTTTACCCAGATTTATCTATTATTAACATTTTATGCCATTTACTTTTTCATTTTTTCCTCTATTTCTCACTCCTTTCTCCACATGTGTGTATATATGTGTATGCTTAGGTTGAAAATATATAAATTACACTTTTTTCCCCTATTAGATACAGTAAGCTCATACATAGATCATGGCCCTTTACCACTAAATACTTTATCTGTTTTTCCAAAGGTATTTCTTGCATAGCTACAGTTATCAATATCAGAAAATATAACATTGACATAGTACTTTAGTCAATCTCCTGTATTTCAGTTTTATTAAATGACCCGGAAATGTCCTTAATAGCATTTTTTTTCCTCGGGTCCAGAATTTAGGCTAGTATCTTATATTGTAAAATTTCTTCAGTTTTATTAGGCTGGAACATTACCATTATGTTGGGCATTTATTAAAACGAGAGCCCTAACCCCTTTATTTTTAAAAATAGGAAGTCCCTCAATTGGTTTCGTCTGCTGTTTCCTGATGATTGAACTCAGGTTATACATTCCTGGCTGGAATACTATGTGTGTGAGAGGTTCTTCTCAGAGTAGCACATCCAGAGGAAGGTGGTTACATTTGTTCCTCACCGGTGATGTTAATTTTGATAATTCGGTCGAGGTGTTATCTTTCTCCACTGTACAGTTTGGTTTTTTTTTCTATTTCAAGTAATAATCAGTCTCAGAGAAGCCTGTTAGGCCATGCAGGTATTCCATTCTTCATCCAAACTTCCCTGTAGAGGGAGCATCCATTTATAATTCCTGTCTGGACCAGCCGTTACCATGATGGCTACTCTGGGATGGCTTCTGAACTGGCACTCCCTCTGCAAGGACCAGTTGGCACTCAGTGTTCTGATCCTTTTCCTGCTCTTGTGTATATTGATAAGTAGGAATGCATTCATTTGTTTATTATTGGCATGAAATCACAGATTTAAAATTTCAGTTTATGGTTCATGACTGTACTTAATTATTTTGTAGTTCATGCTGTCCTAGGGTTGGCCAGTGGCAGCCTCCTCAGGCTGCCTTGCATAGTTTGTTAATGCCTCCCCACCCCCCATTTTTTTGAGCTCCTCTTTACTAAGGTGAGCTATTCTGGGCTGTTTTTATATTTCCTGTCCCAGTCCTGGAGTCATTCATTTCTCTAAGGAGCTGTGGTTCCTTTAGTTGGAAATGGTGTTAAGACCATGATCTGGATGCAGATATTCTGGGCTTCAATGTCACATGTTCTTTCCTTTTCTTCTTTTTCTCTCAAATCTTTTCTTTTCTTTTCTTTTTTTGAAGAGGTTTTTGCTATAGGGTGCGTGCGCTCACCAGACAGAGAGAGAGAGAGAGAGACAGAAAGCGAGAAATCACCCCCCAGGGGGGATGGCCATGCCACAGTCCCTTCTCCTCCATTCTCCTCTTGGGATCTTGGGCACGCAGGCACACGCGCCCGGCGTGAGTTTAAGCCACCGGGTCTGGGACTCGAACCGTGGTCGACTACGTGGGAGTCCAGCGAAATAGCCATTATGCTAACTGTTGGTCCCCTCAATTATTTTCTTTTTACAGTGATCAAAATACTTGGGCAAAGACCTTCTTTTAAAAAATGCTATGAAAATTAATTTTTTGAAAATGAAATAATCTGACTATATATATAAATATAAATTAGAACAACCAAGCAAGCTATTTTTTCCTCTGTAACCCTGTCCTCTGGACAATTTCTTTAGGATAACCAGATTATATTTTACTATCACTAACTGTATGATTGCTATGATAATTTTAAAATTAAATTATATTTCTAGGGCTTGGTACCTAATTTCTAACCTAATATTTTTAATTAATAGTATAGTCATAAGTAAGTTTATTAAACTCAATTTATGCCTTTTTATCTGCATAATTTTCTCACCTTTGGGCTACTTGTTTCCAATAGTCTTTTGGAATAGATAATACAGTTTCTTTTGTCATTGTTTCTAGTTGTGTGGATTTGTGTGCTTGCCTGAGGCATCCCATTCAGCATTTTTTTTTTCCTATAGAGTTTTTTGTCTTCCAGCGCATACTCCTGGGAGAATGGGGGAGGCAGAGATAGTGAGAGGGAAAGTGAGACATCACTCCCCGAAGGGATGACCACATTGCAGACCCTTCTCCTCCATTCTCTTCCCAGGATCTTGGGCAGGCATGCACACACACCTGGTGTGAATTTTTAAGCTGCTGGGGTCCAGAACTTGAACCGTGGTTGGCCATTTGGTAGTTCAGCCATGTAACCACTATGCCATCTGCTGGCCCTCCCCCACTCAGCATCTTTATTGAACAGATAGATACACAGCACCTGGTGTCTGCGCTCAGCTGTGTGACACCGGTGGTGCTCAGTCTGAGGAGGTACGCACCTGGTCTGCTCAGTGCTCCACCTCTCTTCCACCTAGTTAGGTTTGGGGGTTGTCTGAAATCCAGTATTACAGTGGAATCTCAGTAAAGCAGAGACATTCTCATTATTACTTAAAATCAGTTTCAGTATATAGTGAACCTGACTTCTTGATGTCTTTTAACATTTATTTGGATTATTTATGAATTTTCTGTGATATCTGAGATGGTATATCCAGCCAGCTAATTACACAGAATTAATGTAAATAGCTTTTGTGACTTCTAATTAGTTCGTTACTGTTTCACTCTAGATTGTTTAATTTATTGTTTCTCGAGTATTTTATTATAAAATGTATATACAGCAGACTCGAGCAAATATTTCTGTATTATAACACATTCAGAGTGATGTGTGAGAATTAAAACATAAAAGACATGCAGTGTGGCATAGTGAGTAAGATTTCTTTTGTATAAACCACACTTCTGATTTTCTCAGTATTTTCTTTCACAGTATCTTAGTGTTTCAATATCGGGTCACATTCCTGTTGACTGGTCATGGAACAGGGCTACTGCAGCTTTTGCACTTTTTAGTTATGAAGTTGTTGGCCTTTTAAAATAATCAGAAGGTAGTTCTCTGCCATGTTCCTTCTTTTTGAGCCCTTTAGAATTTCTGTTCAGTAGCTCAAATATAAGCAGTGAGTATAAAGAAAAAAAGTGAGGTGCTTTTGTACCCTTCAGTAGATCATGCTGGAGACTCTTGTCAAATTTTAAGTTAAAAACCAAAGTTTTTTTATTGTTCAGTTTGTTAGAGGGCACTTAGCTACAGGTCTTGGACCCAATCTATTATTGACTTTTTTTATCAGATAAAGTGTAGCCTAATTACTGACTTCCTTACCACAATAAGAATTTATTCTCGTAATATATGAACAAGTGTTACTTCATAAATGCTACCAAAAGATATTTTTCCTTTTTCTAGAACTCCATTCAAGTCTAATGGTTTGCCACTATCACTGTATGTAGACTTTCAAATATTTATTTTATTTTTATATTAATTCCATATATACTCAATATTTTACATGATTAAATGATTAGAATAGGTGAAATGATAGTATCTTTAATGTTATATGTAATTAAAGATGGTTATTATTTTACCTATTGAAAGCTTTGGTTCAAAATATAGTTGACTCTTGATTTGAACTACATGCATCCACTTAGACATGGATTTTTTTTTCTTATAAATACTGTGAATGTATTCTCAGATTTATGATTTTCTTGACAACATTTTCTTTTTGTAGCTTACTTTATTATCAGTTCAGTATATAATGTATGAAACACAAAATACGTGTTAACTGTTCATATTATTCAGAAGGCTTCTGGTCAGCAGTTGAGTTTGGGGAATTAAAGTTGTATGTGTTTTCACCTGCATAGAGTGGGGTTGGGGAATAGTGCCCAGCCTCTGCCTTGGGAAGGGGTCATCTCTATAATTTTGTACTGTGTGGCAAAGTAAACGTTTTCGATTTATAAAATTCTTCTTAATGTTTTCTAGGATTTTTTGGAAGTAACCTACCAGATTATCAGAGATCAGAAATCATGATGTTTATTATGGGAAAAGTGCCTGTTTTTGGAACATCCACCCACACTTTGGATATTAGTCAACTAGGGTATGCAGCTTTCTTATGATTTGGAACTAAAATGTGAACTTAATCTTGTGTTAAATTTCATCTTCAATTAGAAAATGTCCATTTTTTTGAGCATTAAAGATAAAAGTGCTATGAAAAGCACTTAATATTTTTATAACACTAGATTGATAATCAGTTGAATCATTGTTTACTTAGCTTTAGAATCAGTTTTTTAGCTTACCATAAATTTTCAAGTTTTCTGTCTTATATTACCCAGGGGTAGCCTTGTTATGTATATGTATACATATTTAGGGTTGAGCGTTATTTCCTATAAAAATCTTAAGTACATCAGGAATATTGGCTTATTCCTTGTATTCTAGAACTGAGAGTGATCTTAAAAGATCATCAGTTCTACCTTCTTATTTTATAGATTTGGTTTGATTTGGTAATGCACTAAAGCTTTAGTTTGTGAGTGTTCTTTTGCTAACTTAATAAGGAAATGGAATTGAATTTATTCTCATATTTCTTTGACCATTAACTAAATAAATGACCATTTCCCATTTGTTAATTCACTTTTTTTTGCTAGAGGGCACGTGTGCTCACCAGAGAGACAGAGAGGCAGAGAAGAGGAAGCACCTTCCATGGGGAGCGGTTATACCTTTTTCTTTCTCCCTCTCTCCCTCCTTTGTTTTGGGATTTTGGGCATGCGCACACACGTGCCTGGTGTGATTTTTCAAGTTGGTGGATCAAGGACTTGAACTGTGGTCAACCATGTGGGAGTTCAGCACCTTTTGCCACCCATTGGCCTCTGAATTTGTTTTGTGTTTTTTACTTACAACTGTTTTTATTTTTAACTTTTTTAAAAAAAGAATCATTTTATTTAAATTTATTTATTTTATTTTAATTTGACCAGACAGGGATAGAGCGAGAGAGAGAAAGATGGAAAGTGAGAAAACTAGCTGCCAGGTCTGGGACTCAAACCATGGTCGGCCATGTGGGAGTTCAGTGCCCTTTAACCACCATGCCACCTGCCGGCCCCACTTACAACTGTTTTAGTTCTAGTGAAATTTACTTTAACAAATAAAGTCAGCCATGATTTCAGCTATTATAAATATAAAATCTTTAGCCAGTAAGGATAGGAACTTTAAAATCAGTAAATAGGAATATAATATAAATGTTAAATATTATATCAGCATTTTTTATATTTTAGGGATTTGGGAACCAGACGGATTCAAATAATGTTGCTGAGATCTTTACTTATGGTAAGGCATTTAAAACAGGTGAATGATAAATTTGCCCATGCTGAAAAAAATTAAAGGAATACCTTCACATCATCCATTTCCATTCTCTCTTTAGTGAGATACTGTTTATGGTTAGTTTCTGTACTTTGTGTTCTTAAATATTAAACTCTTCATTTCTTTTTGCTATCACTTTTTACTACTTATTCCTCGTTTCATTTTGTGTGATCTTTCTAATGATGAAACACACAGAGGACAGTAACTAGTCCTGTTTTACAGATGAAGATACCTGTGTTTAGAGACTCGAGTTAAGGTATAGAGAGGTCACTGTCCTGAAGATAGAATCAGACATTAAATCTAAGTTTCTGTGTCTGACACTATGTCTTTCATACTGAACACATAATGGCTCCTGGGTAGGGAAATAATTCATAAAAATGAAAACAGGTAGTTTTAAATTTTGAGTTGATGTTAATAGCTGAGACGGAAAAGCATACCCCAAATGATAGCTCCTCTGGTTATTTTATGGTTATTGGGTTCATTTTTGGTTCAGCCATTCTTGGCATAATGCTAAGAACAAAGTGGGGGCTGTTGGTAGAGTGTGTATTCTTTCCAAATTAGTATCTTTCAGACCTACCCTAGAAATGTTTATTATACATGCTGCAAGTTTTGAAAGGAAGTATGCCATACCTAAGGATAAATGCAGAAATATCTATTGTGGTTTCATTTTTAATTCTGTTTATGGTGCGTCTCTAAAGAGGTTTTAGATTCTAATATAGCCAGCTCTATCGGTATTTTCCTATTCTATTTGGTGCTTTTTTAAAAGTTTGTGTTTTTTAAAAATTCTTTGCCTACGTGCAGAAACACATTTGTTTATATTTTCTTAGAAAATATATGTGGATCTCCACATTTGAACTCCAGTCTGAAGTTTGTTTATTTGAAGGTGCCTGTGTCTCCCCATGGAGAATGGCCTCAATGTAATCTCTTCTTCATTTCTCCCTCCTTTGGGGATTTTGGACACACACAAGCTAGAATGTTTCTCAAGCCATCAAGTCTGGGACTCAAGCCCATGCGGTCGATCATGGGGATCTAGCCACCATGCCATGGGCTATCTCTGAAGTTTCTTTACATATATGGTATAAGACATGGATACATTTTTTAAATTTTCATAGATAAACAGATACTTGTCCCACCAATTTTCCTGCCGATTTATAAAATTACCTCCATCCAAAAAGCTCCAAATATAAATGTTGAATGTTGCATGTATGCTTATAATACTGAAAATAATTTGAAATCACCCCTGAAATTTTCTCCTAAATTTTTATTAAACAGATTTGCTAAATAAATTATTTTGCTTCTCATTCTGATTATACCACAAGGTCAGTTGAATGAATACACATGTGGTATGGTTAATAAAATTTTAAGTATATTCTTTTTAAAAGCTTTAAATTTAGAATATATTGATGAACTTGTGTCAACTAATAAAGTATAGCTTTTCAAAATAAAAAAAAATGTATTCATGTTAACCAACTGTTCATTTAAAATGAAAGAATAATTTGCATATACAGATTTAAAATTTATATCTTACCTTATTTGCCACTTGATCTCTTTATATTTGTTTCTGACTGAGTACCTGTCCCACGTATTCTTGGCATCTCCAAGCCTCCGTTTCCTCTCACAAAACGGGGATACACTATTGCCTGCCTCACAGAGATGCCGTGAGGACAAAGTTGATGCATACACAAGGCTTAGAATTGTGCCTAGCATGTGATAAATGTGTGTTAGTATTTATTTTATTCTCCTTACGAATAATATTTTTGTAAATTCAGTAAAATCCTCATCACCTTACAAATTTTCATATGTCCTTTCTTCAGGCTCTGTTCATCCTCTCTGTTTTACCAAAGCACTCAGGACTCTGTTTTTTTGTGTGTGTTTTCCTTTCTTTAATCAGGTAACCTCTGGATATAAAGCAAAGACGATCGTTACTGCATTGCCAGGGTCTTTCCTGGACCCTTTGTTGTCACCTTCCCTCATGGAAGATTATGAACTGAGACAGTTGGTCTTGGAAGTCATGCATAATCTCATGGATCGCCATGACAATAGGGCAAAGCTTCGTGGGATCAGGTAATAGGCTATTTTGAAAAAGGCTTTATCAACTGTTGTTAAATATCTAAATTGTTGTAGTTGAATTTTCTGATATTTAAAGTCTAGGATTTTCAGGGTTTATTAATCCAGAGTTTTATTTAATTAGTATTGAGATGGTTTGATTTCTTTTTTCTTTTCTTTTTTTTAAGAGAGATTTTTTGCTATAGGGTGCATGGGCTCGTCAGAGAGACAGAGAGACAGAAACCAAGAAATTACCCCCCCGGGGTATGGCCACACTGCATTCTCCTCTCAGGATTTTGGGCATGTAGAATACACACCTGGCATGAGTTTTAAGCTGCCAGGTCTGGGACTCAAACCATGGTTGACTGCATAGGAGTCCAGCAGCATAACCATTATGCCATCTGCTGGTCCCTAAAGACAGTTTGATTATTTATACATTTTCATATGGTATATATTAGGAGGTCATTTAATATACTCTTCAGATATCTCATTAGTAATCACTACATGAATTTTATTTTGGTTTTATTTTAGATTTGCTCTAAACTTAGGGATTCCATTAGAAACTGAGGTTATTTTTTGCATTTCCTCTTATTAAACTTGGTAATTCAGTAGTATCATTACATATGGGTGTATTTAAAATGTTCATTGAAATGAGTGTTTAATAGTTCTAACCCATAACTATTTTTTAAAAAAGAAGGCTCTTAATTAACTAAAATTTTTTTAGAATTATTTATTTTATTTACTTATTCATTTATTTTAATTTGACCAGAGAGAGACACAGAGAGAGAGAGAAAGAGAGAGAAGAAAACTGAAAAAGCGAGCCCCCAGGTCCAGAACTTGAACCGTGGTCGGCCATGTGGGAGTGTTCAGCACCTTAACCACCATGTCACCTGCTGGTCCCTAAATATAACTTTTTATATAAGACATGATATTGTAACTAAATGTGTTGTTCATTAAAAATGAAATGTTGATTGTCTCTAGAATAATACCAGATGTTGCTGACCTAAAGATCAAGAGAGAAAAAATTTCTAGACAAGACACAAGTTTCATGAAAAAGGTAAGATCATCTTCCAGGAAAAGAATATATGATGTAAGTTACAACAATTTGAATTGCTAGGGACCAGTAGTTAGCGTAATGGCTATGTCGCTCGACTCCCATATAGTCGACTGCAGTTCATGTCCCGGACCCGGTGGCTTAAAACTCAACTCTGGGAGTTTTAAGAGGAGAATGGAGGAGAAGGGATTGTGGCGTGGCCATCCCCCTGGGGGGTGATTTCTCACTTTCTGTCTCTCTGTCTCTCTCTGTCTGTCTGGTGAGCGCATGTACCCTATAGCATAAACCTCTCCAAAAAAAAAAAAAAAAAACAATTTGAATTGCTGGATGGTTTTAGGCTGATCCCTGACCTTACAGCCATAGAATTTTGGCATTGAAAGACCTTACACTGCCATCCTCAGCCTCTCCACATTACCATGCAATTCACAAACAGTGGCATTTTATTAAATATGTAGATTAATTTGTGTAGAATTGCTATTTTGATTATATTAATTCTTCCAATCCAGCAACATGGGCTATCCTTCCACTTTTTTGTATCATTTTCAATTTCTCTTTTTATCTTCTCGTAGTTTAGCTTGTGGAGGTCTTTAACTTCTTTGGTTAGATTTATCCCTAAGTATCTTACACTTTTGTGGCTATGGTAAATGGAATAACTTTTTTCAGTTCTATCTCAGTCTGCCTGTTGTTCTATTAGAAATGCTATAGATTTCTGGATATTAATTTTGTATCCTGCAACTTTGTTGTATTCATGTATTACTTCCAGAAATTTTTCATGGAAACCATTGGGTCTTCTATGTATATAATCATGTAATCTGTGAATAGAGTTTCACCTCTTCTTTCCTATTTGTATGCCTTTTATTTTTTCCACTCTTCTGATTGCATTGGCGAGGACTTCCGGTACTACATCGAAGAGGAGTGGAGAAAGTGGGCATCCTTATCTTGTACCAGTTTTTAGTGGAAAAGCTTTCAGCTCTTCTCCATTGAGGATGATGTTCACTATGGGTTTTTCATAGACAGCTTTTATTGTGTTGAGAATCGACCTTTAGATTTTGGCTGGAAAACTACATGCTTATCTGGGACAAGTAAGTTACATTTCAAAACGTCCACTGTAGAACTGTGTCACACTGCTTCAAGAACCAAATGTTCAAGTAGAGCAACATTGAACATCACTAGGTGTTCAACATCCAAAGTTCAGTAAGTGGAACAAACTGTTTTCTGAGAGTGTTTTCTAAAATTTCGTTGGAAGCGGGTTTCCCTAGTATTACTTTGCTGGGAATTTTTGCATCTACATTCATAAGATATATTGGTCTGTATTTTCACTTTCTTGTCATGTCTTTGTTCGTTTTAAAGATAAGGGTGATGGAGGCTTCAGGGAATGAATTTGGGAGAGTTCCATATTTTTGGATTTTTAGAAATAACTTGAGTAGAATGGGGGTTCACTCTCCTTTAAAAGTTTTGTATACTTCAGAAGTGAAGCCATCAGGACCAGGGTTTTTTTTTGTTGGGAGATTATTTATTACTGATTCAATCTCCTGGCTTGTTATGGAGCTATTCAGACTTTGTATATCCTCCTGGCTCAATCTAGGTAGATTATATGTGCCCAGGAATTTGTCCATCTCATCCAGATTATCTTGATTATTGGCATACAGATGTTCATAGTATCCTCTAATGTTTGTATTTCTACTATGTCTGTTGTTATTTGCCTACTTTATTGCAGATCTGATTCATCTGGTTCCTTCTCTCTTCTTGATAAATCTCGGTAGTGGTGTATCAGTTTTGTTTATCTTTTCTATCAACTGGCTTTTACTTTCGTTTATTTTCTGTATAGTTTGTTTATTTTTTATTTCATTTATTTCTGCTTGTATCTTTATTATTTCCTTTCTCCTGGAGTTTTTTGGATCTTTTTGCTGTTGCCTTTCCAATTCTCTGAGGCATGATGTTTGGTGATCCATTTGCCTTCTTTCCATCGTCCTCTTATGTACACTGAATGCTATGAGCTTCCCTCTCATGACTGCATTAGCAGTGTCCCAATGATTATGGAAACTCATGTCCTCGTTGTCATTGACTTCCATGAATCTTTTGATTTCAGTCTTTATTTCTTCAGTAGTTGTGGAGTCATTCAGGAGTAGGTTATTTAGTGTCCATGTATTTGAGTATTTTTAAGGATTTCTCTTGAAATTAAACTCAAGTTTAATTCCATCATGGTCAGAGAAGATGCTGGATATAGTTTCTATACCTTTGAATCTGTAGAGGCTTTTTTTTTGCCCTCTGAAGTGGTCAATCTTCGAGAAGGTTCCATGTGGGGGTGAGAAAGAAGTGTATCTTGTGGTTTTTGGATGGAAAGTTCTATAGATATCTGTTAAGTCCATTTGATTTATGGTATAATTTAGATCCTTTATCTCTTTACCTATTTTTTGTCTAGATGATCTGTCCAAGGGGATAGTGCAGTGTTGAGGATTTCCAACAATTAATGTGTTGGTGTGTTACAGTCTATCTTCCCTTCTAGATCTAACAGTTTTCCTTCACATATTTGGGTGTTCCTGTGTTAGGTGCATAGATATTAATAACCGTTATATCTTCTTGATCGATTGACCCTTTTACTACAATATAGTGCCCTTCTTTGTCTCTTCAAACAGTTTTTGTTTTAAGTCTATTTTGTTAGAAATTAGTATTTAGACTCCAGCTCTTTTTTGGTTCCCATTTGCATGGAAATCCTTTTTCCAACTCTTCACTTTCAGTCTATATATGTCTTTATCCATGAAGTGGGTTTCCTGTAGGCAACAGATAGAGGGTTTCTGTTTTTTAATCCATTCAACCAGTCTGTATCTCTTGATTTGAGAATTAATCCATTAACATTCAATGTTATGACCGATGTTACTGGACCTGTCCCGACATTTAAGTTGGCCATTGTCTTAGTTGCCTTTTATTCCTTTGTTTCTGGCTGTTACTTCTTTAGTTTTCCTGAAACAGTACTTTCTTCAGGGTTTCGTGAAGAGCTGGCCTGGTGTTGGCAAATTCTTTCAGGTTTCATTTGTCTGAGAAGATTTTAATATTTTTTTCCCTTATGAAGGATAATCTTGCAGTATATAATAATCTTGGTTGAAATTGTTTCTCTCTTAACACTTTCAATACATCTTCCTATTCTTTTCTTGCTTGCATTGTTTCTGTTGAAAAGTCTAGTGTTAGCCTGATGGGGTGACCTTTGTAAGTCACTTGTCGTTTCTCTCTTGCCAGCTTTAGTATCTTATCTTCATCTGTGGTCTTAGTCAGTCTGGCTAAGATGTGCCTTGGGAAAGATCTTGGTTTGATTTAGTTTGGGGTCCTTTGTATTTCTTGGGTCTGGATGTTTGAGTGTCTCTTTAGACTTGAGAAATTTTCTTCCAGGATTTCATGGAATAGATTTTCCATGCCCTTATTAGTTCTTTATCTTCTGGGATACCAATTATTCGGATATTAGGGCGTCTAATGGGCGTCTAATGGAATCTAGTATTTCTCGTATATTATCTTCATGTTTTTTTTTTTTTTAATTTTCTCTATCTTTTTGGTGGTTTTCTCTAGATCAGAGGTTTTCTCTTCTACATCAGAGATTCAATCTTCAGCATAGTCTAATCGACTTTTAATACTTTGAGAAAGTTTTTGATTTCCTGTATTACAGACTTCACCGCTAATAGTTCCATCTGATGCTTTCTTAGCGTATCCATTTCTTCTTTCATATCATGGAAGGGCTTTCTAATCTCCTGTAGTTCATTGTCTCTTTTCTGTTCCATCTCATAGAATTTGTTCACCATGAATGTTCTAAATTCTTTCTTGGACATTTTGGTAATGACCTCTGTTTTTTCAAGAAATGGAAGGGAGTCACTGTGTTCTTTTGATGGAGAAAAATTCCTGCTTTATTCAGACCTGAGGCTCTTCTACTTCTAACCATTTTGAGATCTGTTCACTTTGGAATACCTTTGAAGAGAACGTTTCCTCAAATAGGAGCAAGTGTGTTTCACTTTTCCTATGGAATGAAGACTGCTGAAGTCTTTCTTCTGTTGTGTTAGCAATGTGATCCAAGGAGGAGTATTCTCTTCAGGTGTATGAAGAAAAGTATCTCCTTTTTCACAGATGGTTCAGTAAAAGGGAGGATCCCAGAGAGTCTTACTAGAGTATTTTAGAACTGTAATTCTAGACCTATCTAGACCATCCGGGAAGGTGGAGATAAAGGAAGATAGGACCAAATATGTGGGAAGATATAATAAGGAGAATAAAGAAAAAATCGCGTGCTGCACTAGTGGTGTGCGATTTCTCCAGGGGTCTGAAGATGGAAGTGAGGTGACTGTAGAGCTGAGAGTGCTCCTGTGTGGTAAGGAGTGAGAAATTTACAAATGAAAGAAGAGGAGAAGGAAAACAAAACGCCTTCCTGGCTGACAGAAATAGGGGTCTCTGGCTTGGGGGGGGTCCCAGGGCTGGAGCTGAGGTGGGGAACCCTGCCTCAGTGTTCCTTATGCCAGGGGTCTGGCTGACAGAGATAGGAGTCTCTTCAGCAACTTCTCTTAAAGTTAGCTGTCAGGTGAACCTGCTGGGAAACAGGCCTGGCATATAAACTAGAGTTTCTCAGTAATGCCTTAGCTAAGAAAGGCTTTTATACCCTTTGTTAGTATATTTTCATCAGTCTGGTTTGCAGGAAACCTCTGTGCAATTTCTCGTGAGTTTCTGTAACCGCTTCCAGTAAATAGGCATCAGACTGTGTTTGGAGGTTCCATGCCAAAGTATAACAGAACCCACAGTTGCTCTTTCTGGACATCCTTAAATCACAGCCCAGCGATTATTCCCAAGAAACACAAGCTGTAGTGCATTTCTGCTCAGCAAAATATTGATCATTGCCAAGGCTGTTCTGAAAAGTATCTCCCAGAATTCTTTTATCCATTTTACTTATTCTCAAATCAATCCATAATTTTATTTTTCAAATTATTACTAAACATTTTTAATATTTATACTTTAACTATTTCTTACTTATTGGGGTTGGTCAGCTGTAACATTAGTTTATAGTCACATATTAGCATATTTGTTGTTGTTTTTTCCTGAGAGAGATTTTGGTTCTAGGGTCTGTGTGCTTGAAAGACAGACAGAAAGACAGAAAGCAAGAAGTCACCCCTCAGAGGGGATAGCCACACCACAGTCCGTTCCCCTCCATTCTCATCTTGGAATTTTAGGCACAAACGCACATGTTCCCAGCCTCAGTTTTAAGCCCCGGGGTCTGGGTCTTGAGCTATGGTCGTCTATGTGGGAGTCCAGCAACATAACCATATCGCCATCTGCTGGTGACTGGCTTAGATTTAACTTTCTTGTTAAGTTAAATAATAAAGTTTACTTTGTAGATGGTTGTAGACATATGAAATCTGCCTTTACTACATTTAAGCGAAGTTATCTTTTTTTCTGTTATTTCTTTTCAGAATGGGCAACAGCTTTATCGGCACATATATTTGGGTTGTAAAGAAGAAGACAACGTTCAGAAAAACTATGAGCTACTCTATACTTCTCTTGCTCTTATAACTATTGAACTAGCCAATGAAGAAGTGGTTATTGATCTCATTCGATTAGCCATTGCATTACAGGTATGCTTTCATAACTTTTACTGAGGAAACATTTTTTATGAAGCTGGCATTATTTTTAAGATGTCATTGCATCATTGCCTTTATCCAAGGATGTGAGTTTAAGTTGTATATGTAGTTGTAAGCTATAACTACTCAAGACTATGATTCACACTCATTCTTTAACACTCAAGCATTGACTGTGTGCCAAGTACCATAGGAGTATTGTCGTGAGAAAGACACATTCCGTCCCTGTTCCTGTACTTTCAGTCCAGTGATGAAGATAATCAATGTATGATAATGTTATTTAATTGGGGCCGTGTAACAATTATGTAATAAAAGGGCAGTGTACGTGGCTTTACACATATACACAACACACACAAGAGAAAGAATAGGATAGGCTTTCTGAGGAAGCCACACTTGAGAGATTTGAGTGCTGTAAGTGGTTAGTTATTCTCCCTACAGAATTCCTTTTAAAAGTAACTTCTGGGTCAACACATGGTGTGGGGGTTAATGGAGCTAGATTTACATGGCTGACCATGTGTTTCAGTCCTAGACCTGGCAGCTTGAGAAACATGCTGGGCATGTGTGTGTTTGGATGCCCAAAATCTCAAAGGGTAGACAGATGGGAGAGAAGGTATTGTGGCTTGATCATTATCTATGGGTGGTGCTTTCTCAGTTTTCTCTTTCACTGTTTCTTGAGTGAGCATATGCTCCCTCTAGCAGATTTAAAAATAAAAAGCAGTTGACATTTTTGGTAACATTCCAAATTACCTGCATCTTTCCCGTGTAATGAAGAAAATGCCATTGGAACATAAGAACTTGATCTGACGTGTGTGTTTCTTATTGAAGGATAGCGCAATTATCAATGAAGATAATTTACCAATGTTCCATCGCTGTGGGATCATGGCACTGGTTGCAGCGTACCTTAACTTTGTGAGTCAGATGATAGCTGTGCCTGCGTTTTGCCAGCATGTAAGCAAGGTAAGGTGTTAGAGCAGCCCTAACCCTGAGTTTTCTACAAAAACGACTGACTTTCTCCCAGTGATAATTCTTTTTTTAATTTTGGTAATATTATATCAAATTATTTAAATAATTCTATAAAAAGTATATGGCAACCAGATTGAAACTATAGCTAAATCTTCAGCTAGTGCTTTTTATATTTGATACCTATTCTTTCATTAGAATTTTGTTTATTTATTTATTTTTTTATTAGAATTTTTTAATGTCAAATAGAGTACATATAGAGTACATGACTTTCTTCTAGATTACCTCATGTAATTTCTTCCATAGTTTTCCTTTCAAGAATTGTGGATTTTACCATCTAAATTTTTTTTTTTAAGTTTTACTGTTTTTACTATTGCTATTTTACATCAGTCTACTTGAGGTAGATCTTGAAAGTTGAATTATTAATGTGTCTCTTAGGAATTTGTCCTTTATCTTTCAATTATATTTAATTTTTTTCAGCAATAACTCTTAAGTACTTGCGTGGTTTAATAGACATATCAGAACTCCTTACTTACATGGCAGGAAAAGTCCACTTCTAATGACATCTGAAAAAGAACCTAATTTTTAAGAAATTGGAAGCATATCTGTCTTTACTAAAAGTAGGCTTTTAGTGCATTTTGTAAAAAAAAAAAAAAAAAAACCCTCTTTTATTTATTACAAAACATCTAAGTGTGAGTATTTAAATACTGCCATGAGAAAACAAACATTATGGAAAACAGGGAACCCCCACCAGATTGCTCATAAAACAGAGGAGGAGCTGGACCACACAGGTGCCGAAACCTTGAGCACAGTCGACAGAAATGCCCAGAAGGTGGAGGAAGTTGACTTGTGAAGGGATTTCCGAAATAGGACATTGGAAAAATACAAGTTCTTACTCTTTTGGAGTGAGTTGAATTACATGTAATATAGCATCATTTTTACTTTCTGTATTATTTTATTATCATGATCTTATCTGCTGGATTTTTTATATAATGTGAAAATAAGCTGAACTCTGCATTTGGACCCTAAACTTCACTCAAATTCCAAAATAAGTGATGGTATTTCTTATAAATATTGGGTTGTCAGAAAAATCATGATGTTTTTTTTTTTTTTTTTAAAGAAACAAAAAACATGTCATGACTTTTTCAACAACTCAATACTAAAGATTTGGTTTTGTTTTATGTTTTTCTTTTTTTTTTATTTTTTAAGTTCTCCATATTTTTTACAGCAAGGTTCTAAGAGGTGAGATTTTTTATTTTGTTTTGTTTTGTTTTTGATATTCTGCAGGTTATTGAAATTCGAACTGTGGAAGCCCCTTATTTTCTGCCAGAGCATGTTTTCAGAGATAAGTGCACGTATGTTAATTCTTTCCATTTTAAGGAAGGGATACTGACTCAAGAAAACCATCTATTAATGATTATAAAGGAGTAGACTATTGTTACAGTAATTTTCTGATAATAATCATTGTCATTTAAGTTATCTAACTTTTTCTATGCTATAAAAGTTCTTATACATTATAAATTTAGACTTGGACACACAGAGTCAATCTGTAAAAGAAAATGGAAAAAAATTATTTATCCTACTTTTTAAAAGCATGAGGATAGGTCTCTTAAATATAGCTTTTTTAAATGTTCTTATATATAAGTGAACACTCCTTTTAGAGCAGATAACATCCT